AAAGAGTAAATGTGATTATTATTCTTTCCAGATCCTATCTATACAAGATCCCATATAATTAGGTCATTGTCATACTAATTACGAAATAAAATAATTTTTTATATATTTATTCCTTCTTTTTTTTTTGTCTTTTTTTTTTTTTTACTTTTAAAGCACACTTTCATTATAACCAATATATACACTGGAAGATTCAGAAAAAAGAAACTGAAAAAGTAATAAAAGTCAAAAAAAAAGGGAAAAAACTGATGATTCACTAAAAAAAAAAAAAACTAATTTTGAAATGATCAAGTAGTATTATTTTTTTTATTTTATCTTTAAAAAATCGCTTACTGAAATGTTGAGATAAAAATTTCGCTTCGTTTCCGAATATATATTATTTTTTAACAAATTATTATGAAATAATTACATTACTAAAAGTTAATTTCGTCATTTCTTCTTCGAAAGAAAAAAAAGTTGTATTTAAAAAAGATAAAAGACGAAATTACCATAACGATTATTTACCATTACTTTTCGACTTATACAAATGAATCAATTCTACTGAATATAAAATGAATGTTTAGTCAAGAAAGTAAAGAAGAATAAAAAGAAAAGAAAATACAATTGATTATGAAATATATAATTAATTATAAAATATATAATAACGTCGTTCAATTGGAAGTTTCAATGAAAAATTATCATCGTATTCTATATATGTTTGTATCAATATATTTAAAAGTATAATATATATATATATATATATATATTTTATATATATATATATATATATAAAAATATGTATAGAGAAATTAAATCCAAATCAATAACATATAACTCCAACAAGTTGACCTTTCTAAATGGAAAGACATAATCTCGGTATTATTTTAACAAAATATAAAAACATAAACAAGTTGTTTATTTTCTGATTTTAATGAAGAGAGATACTTCCAATGTAAAAAACATTTAAGTTATATTATCTATAATATTACTTATGCACACACACACACACACATACAGACATACTGTTTTTCATATTTCATAAAATAAACAATCACTAATAATTATACGTATTTATCTATAAACATTTTTATTGCGAAATGAAAAAATGCAAAAAACAACGATTAGATATTTCATTACAAACTATCATATCTTTATTTCAGTTTCCTTCGACCAATGGAATAACGATCAATGTTTGTTAATTTGCGTCACGTGCATTTCTCCTTCCTCTCAATTCTCCCCGTTTCTCATAGTTGATCTTCTAACAGACAATTTCGGAATACGTAATTAATATGACGTGGAATCTGTGCTTGTAAAAAAAGAAAAAGAAAAAAAGAAAAAGAAAAAACGACAGTAAATTTTTCCATTTTTCCAAGATTTCATTAAATATAAAATTTCCAATGTGAATCATTATATTGTGTCACAATGTCTCTTTAGTTTTTGTTCCTTCGTCTTCTTTTTTTCTTCTTTTCGAACAAAACTTTTTTCAGATATGTTTGAATTTATTAATATTCCTTCACGTAATGGATCCTTATAACTACTTGCATACACACATACATATCATCTTGTTACATAATATATCAAAGCCATTTAAAATGAAATCAATTATTAAACAAAGTAGTCATGTGAGTGTAAAAAAAAAAAAACTACAATTTATGTAGGTACATAATGTTTTAACAAACCTTTCTTGTGCTTACGAAGATTAATGAAGTTCTACTTCCTACTTTAATCGTTAAGTCAAAGAACAAAAGTAGCAAAGAAAAGATTAATTAGAAATTTATGGTAAAACACATAGGTATACTAATTACTTACTGACTTAGCTCATTAATAAATGATAACATCGTACCATGCCATTCGTCTTTTAATTTAATATTATAATTAATTTATCATTTAATGTAATCTATAAATTTTCAAATTTTTCTTCTAATAATTTTTCTGTATGTATTTCTTCGTTTCGAATTCAAATATGTCTTCGTTTAGTAAGCCATCTCCAGAAAAAAGTATACATATATACATATTATATATATATATATAAAGTAAAAATAATTATTATCATAATAAATAAATAATTTAACATATGTCATATATTATACTATATAAATAATTTTTTTATAATTATTCTTATAATAACTAAAGATGCGATTGGGTAATTACCTTGGTAAATTACACAACTGATAAATAATTATTATTTATTTATAATTAAATTTTAAAATAACATTTAATTATTTTATAGTCTTATATTTAATTAAGTATTAAATGGAATTTATAAAATAGTGAAATATAAAAATAAAAAGTATTTCTGTAATTTAAAAAGAAAAAGAAATATTTAAAGATAAAAATTTATTTATAATATAATACATAAGTATTATTTGTAATAATTAATTATGTATTTATTTAGATTATAAAATATATTTATTAATTAATTATTATTATTTATAGATATTAATAAATTTTATATTATATATATATATATATATATATATATATATATATATATATATATTGTATAGTATTATTTATAGAATGAGCCAAAAATTCTTAAATTATATAAAAAATTGATTAATCTTTTTTCGAATCTTTAAACTAATTATAGTTTCTTTTATATATCATAAAAATAAAAACCTGTAAGAATTTTTTGCTAATTATAAACATAGTGAGCAGAAAAATAAAAAAAAATAATTAAAAAAAGAAGTATGCAAATAAATTCACATGTTAAAATTTATTTCCAAGAGACACATAAATTGTTCAAACCTATTTTTATTATACGTAATAGTATTATATTTTATGTTGATAATAATAATAAATCATTATCAGTATTCGTCATCAACAATTTTACATACATATTTTTTTTCTTTATATGCAAATCGGACTTTACAATCAATACTTCGTTATATATAAAACGAAAAAATGAAAATATCGTCTTTGAAAATTTGTCTAATTGTTTAATCGCGAAGGTTGTAAATAATATCTAAATCGATGAAAAAAAAAATAAAAAAAAGCAATCAACAAAACGTTTTAATAACAGACAAAATGATTCGCCATTACTATGTCAGATATTATAAAAGATGCAAAACAACTTCACAAACAACGATTTGGAGAGTTCCATTGTAACTCTATTGCGTAGGTAAACAAGTAGTTGTAATAACCCCAGGAAGAGACAAAATAAGGAAAATTGTGTCGAGAAATATAATTTCGAGGTCAAAGGCTTGATATCTACCTGAGTTCATAAGAAAAGAAGAAATAAAAGAGAGACGTCTAACTATAAAAATTATATATCCTAGAAGAAAAGTATAATCGCTCTTACGAAAACAAAAGTTTCATCTTGAAAAAACTCAAGAGTAAACTCTATAAAAATATATTAACCGTAATAATAACTAAAAAAAAAAAAAAAAAAAAAAAATGAAAATAATAATTTCTTAAATAAATTAAAATACATTTGTAAAGAAATATTTTGTTTATTTGTGAAAAAATTGTTGAAATATATGAAAATCTACAACTATAATAAGTACATAAATACGTGAAATGAAAATAACAATGTGATCGAGTTTCATGAATTGTAAATTAAAATATATGGAAACTCTCTCCTGTATGTATGTATACATTATATATATATATGCACACACATACAAAACTTTGCTTAGGAATTTTTATTCGGTTATATGACCTCGATATTCAGCATCACGTACTTATTTACAAGGTTTGTGACTTTATTTAAACTCCTTCTAAAATTGATGCAGTCCGTATTATAAAGTATCTAGTGCATCTCGTTTTTAACAGATCGATCAAACTAAAATCTCTTTTTAATATAACATAATATATACATACATATATATATATATATATATATATATATATATTATATTTTAAATTAGATATAGACGTAAATAAATTCTAAAAAAAAAACTGTCTCGTGATTGATATATTAATATTTTTGCATGTTAAATTAAATATTAATACGTATCAAAGGAAACTGAAACACAAAGAAAAAAAAAATAAGTTTCAATCGTATTCTCATTGTAATTAATGATATACGATCTCGCAAAAAAGTAATATCAATAAGAACAAGCCTTATGGCCTCGTATTATATATTCTAGAGAATCACTATTTATTCTAAAGAGAGCAAAAGAGAGAGAGAGAGAGAGAGAGAGAGAGAGAGAGAGAGATGGAGAGGGAGAAAGAGAGAAGTCTCCAGAATGTCTCGTAATGTCAATTTAATACAATAAAAGACCAAGGAAAAGGAAAATGGAAAAAAAGAAAGAAAGACAAATATATATATTATCGCTTTACCACAAAAATGTATTTAAAAATAAAATATTTAAAAAACAAGGGATTTAAACAAAGCAACAAACGATTTTACAAGGAAGATTTTAAGATTAAATATTGAGAAAAAGAAAGAAACAAAAGAAGAAAGAAAAGAAAAAAATTTACTTGCGTTGGAAGGTTAACTAAAAATAAAAAAATTAAAACGATAAATTCCGAAAATTTTCCATTATAAGCGTCCATTAGGGTCGTTCTTGTAACTATTGTAAAACGACGAACGAAACTTAAAACTACGGATGAAAAAAAGATAACGAAACACGTCTTCTAAAACCTGTTCGTGTAAAAAAAAAAAAAGGAAAATAAAGGACCTCTCACAAAAAAAAAGAAAAAAGAAAGATAAAACGATTCTCGAAAGTTGTCGTTTTTTTTATTATTATTTACTGATTACAAAAATTTTAAGATATTTATTCAAAAAGAGACAAAAAGATATATATATATATATATATATATATATATATATATATATATATATATTTAAAATCTAAAAATGTTGAAACTACAAAAATAATAGGATAAAAGAAGAAAAAAAGGACAATAAATTAATTAAAAAGAGAGGGAAGGTATAAAAATGGTGGGAGAAGTCAACGCAAACCGATTGGTCAGATTTCCACGTGCTTTGAAAGCACAGAGGCTGAGAATGACGGGCAGGTCTAGACTTAGCATGCGAGTGGGGACATCGATATGTTTTTCAAAGAGTCACACGATCCACGTTTCCATCACTTTCGCATGGAATCGCATAGCGTGCGCACCGAAAGAAAGATTACTATAGAAGTTTTATTCGCAATAATAAAAGTGGAATTTAATTGTGATTCGGAGGATTAATCGAACGTTCCTGAATAAGAAAGATATAAAAATTATCATTAAGTTAATGATTATAAATTTTTGAAAAGGGAAAGAAAAAAACAAAAAAAGAAAACAAAAATAAAGAGAAAAAGAAAATTAATCCGAATAGAATTAATGACAATTTCGAGAAAGAGAAAGAAAAAAAAACTAAATACATATATATATATATTAATAGTTTAAAAAATAATCATTCGTTTCTAGTAAATTTAATTGCAAGATTGAATCTAACCATCGATTTTATTAATTCTGAAACATTCTTTGTGTTAATCTTTACGAAAGAAAAGATTATTGTGAAGTGTATACACCATGAAGGATCTATTAATGATTTGGAATAGATTGACGGGAAGGAGATGTTCTACGATAAATAATAATTTCGGCATGACCTGTATAAACGAACAAGATGAAATAATGATAACGCGGAATACGAGAAACCGGAGAAAGTCTTCGGTCGTAGTGAATCAGTTCTTCAATGCAACGACGACCTTACCGGTACGAACTAATGGCACACCAATATCGTCACGAAGTGAGTAACATTTTTTTTATTTACCGAAAACGAACGTGAATGTATTTAATTAACATATTTACAGTTTCTTCACGACTTTCAAATTATTTATTTCTTTTTTCTTTTTTTTTTTTCAACAATAAAAATTGTTCAGATATTTCCTGATATATCAAAAAGAAAACAAAGTAGAAGAGGAAAATTATTAAAATTGTAAATCTCTCTCTCTCTCTCTCTCTCTCTTTCTCTCTCTCTTTCTCTCTCTCTCTCTCTCTCTCTCTTTCTCTCTTTTTATACGCTATCTCTTCGATTAAGTTATATAAACAGAATAAACACAAATTTTCAAGCATTAGAGATTTGCTTAGGAATACAAGATACGTTCGATTGGTATGCGGAAATCAATATGAAAAATGCAAAAAACGGATAGGAATAAGTTTCTTAGTGGTATTCGCGTGACTAAATTTCATTATATGCATCTTTAAGAATTATCGTCAACATTAGATCTATAAAATTTTTCGTGTATTTTATCAAAAACTTGATGTAAATCGCGTAAATCTAATATACAAATTAATACGTCTTATTAGTTCATTATGATAAACAAATAAACATTTATAGCAGATGGTTAACTTTATGAATAAAAAAAAAAAAAAAAAAGAAAAAAAGAAAAAAAGAAAAAAAAAGAAGAAGAAAAAAAAAAGAAGAAGAAGAAACTAAAAAAAGGAAAAAAGTAGTCTACTTCTGTTGCGAAAGATCGCGTACGCGCTCTTGACCGGTTGCATGTATGATCTGCTCTAATCTCATACATAGATAATAAGTGCATGCGTAATAAATGTTTTATAACAAAAATATTCTCGCAATATCCTCCAATTGATATGCATTGCACTCAGCTAAAAGTTGATATCTTTGAAGATCGAAGAGATCGAAATAAAAAAAAACCAATAAATAGTTATTCCCGACGGTGTTCTACTTTTTTTTTCCCATTTCCCTATGTTTCTCAGAAACGGAAGAAGAAACAACACGCAATAAGCATTATGGATCATTTTTTTTTTTTGCATAAAAAAAAAAAACAAATATAAAAAGGAATATACGATACGTAATGTTTTTCTTTTTTTTTTTTTTTTTTTTTTTTTTCTTTTCTAAACATTTTCCGATAAGTACGTATTAATTGCCATTTATCTTCTTTTTTTGCTTTCCTTTTTTATTTCTCCTTTTCTCTTCTTTTTTTTTTTCTTTTTTTAATTTCATCAATAACAATCATGTCGTCGACCAATACCACTATTACTATATCATATCTCGGTCATCTAGAAATGATGAAACTCGAAAGAAATGAGACAAAATTTTTATACATATTATAATGTGACACATTTTAAATTTCTTATTGATTAAACCGATGACTAAAATGAAGCAATTAATACCCGAATCACGTTTATCATTCAGAAAAGCATTATATCCTTACAAGAGAACAACTTGAATCGGAGTCCTTGTAAAACAAATATGTAAAATCTTTCTCTTTCTCTCTCTCTCTCTCTCTCTCTCTCTCTCTCTCTCTCTCTCTTTCTCTCTTTTTCTCTTTTTCTTTTATTTTAATATTCATATCCTCGAACTTTAAAAAAAAAACAAAATTTATCTTAGCATGACAGATTAAATGAGAGATTTAAAAGTTTGCATGATAAACATAAATTAAAAAAGATAAAAGGACAAAAATAAGTATTCTCTTTCTTTATTTCGAAATATATACATATATATTTATAAATTTTATATATAGATGATTAGAGACTTTGTTAACATATGACACATATTTCCTTCATTCGAGACCTTTCACTGTCTTAACTAAGTACTTTCTTATTCGATTTAACGTATGACCCAACCGAAAAAAAGAAAGAAAATCACTTACGCGTTATTACATATGTCGCAAAATTGTACTTGAGAATTAAAAAAAAAAAAAAAAAAAAAGAGACCATAAAAACCGGCCCAATTAACTAATACCAACGTAAAATAATCTAACATAAGTAAAACTTTTTTTAAAGAATCGAGAAAGCGACCGAATAAACTACTCGAAAGTATTTCATCTAGATCGAATTGTTACTTACAAATGTAAAGTTACATATTTAAATATATATTCTTAAAAAGAAAAGAAACAAAAAAAAAAGAGAGAGAGAGAGAGAGAAGAAAAAGAACAAACACAGATGTTGTTCACAAAAGCAAAGAAATTTTTGCAGTAGCACGATAAACTCTCCGGAAAAGTATACTTCTTACGAATAATAGAAAAGACTTTAAACAAATACATGATATGCTATATATATATATATGTGTGTGTGTGTATGTGTGTGTGTAACATATCTTTGTTCAGCATGCCAAAGGTTGTTATATTATTCATAACGCATACACTAGATAATCATTAATTCGATGCATGATTAGAATATGTTATCGTTCCTTCTGTGAGGTCAAAAAATAATTTCATGTATATAATTCATAATAAGTAATAACAAAATAATTATAATCCTCGTCAAGAAAGAAAAAAAACAAAAAAAAATAATAAGAAAAAGAAAAACTAGAAATAGAAGGAGACGGATTTTAATCTATGTAATCTATGTAAAAAAAATTAATTCGAATGAATATGAATATTTCTATTATCTTATCAATATTTTTATATAAAATTGCTTACCGAGTAATTAATCCACGGAATATTAATTAATGCGGAAAAAAAAAAAACAATCAATTTTATAATGAATCAAAGGATTACATATAATATATATCGAATGTTGTAACGATGGAGATAATTCCATAGTAGATAATTCCATATCCGTACGACATTGAAACTGTTTGTAAAAAAAAAAAAAAAAAAAAAAAAAAAACCTATTCTGGTTAGTTAAGTAAACCAATTTTAAATGGGAAGAAAAAAAAAGTATAAATACCTGACCAGAAATTTCTAAAGAATTCTTTAATGCCGGTCTTGTTAAATTATTTCGTAATGCACGAACACACGCACAAAGACACAACCATTGCCTATATTGTAAATTTGTTTTAAAATAATTCCATTTATATATATATATATATATATATATATATATATATATATATATATATATGATAAACAATTAATTTCATTCTAATTTCTAATCAAGCACGATTTTACTTGATTTTTATAGTTAAATGCATTAAACTAAATAATAATGTAAAATTATCTTCTTTGAATCAAATTTATTATTCATAAATCTTTTATACGTGAAACTTCTATATTCAAATTCATCCTTTAATTTTTTTCATATAGTTCAGTATTGACCAGGTTAATATCCAGGATCATGATTTCAAATTACTACTTTCTAATAATTTTAATAAGGTCGTTATGTTAATAGATAGGACAGCGAACTGTCGCGTCGATTTCACGCAATATAACACCCTTGTTTACTCGATACGAATAATAGCTTCCATTGTAATTATATATACTGCACGCGGATTCTGTACTCTCTTCATTCGCTTTTGTTCCGTATAAGATAAAATGTCAATCAATGTCTCGCTTTTCTTCTTCCCTCATTCGTAAGATACTTAACGTGACATATTTGAAATTTTATTCCTTTTTCTATATATTATATAATTACTTCATTTATAATTCCTCCTATCGATTCTATTTCACACCTTCAAAAAGATATAAATCAAAAGTTTCTTTCTATTTGATTATTATTGAAAAAATTCGATTAATTAAAAATATTATAACAGAATTGTTATATGTTTCGATAAATAAATAATTCATCAATATGTTTATAATAAATATTTAATGAATTATAAAAAAGAGAAAAAATGTTTTTCATTTTCATTTCTTACACGGAGGAGTGGCTGCCATTCAAACTCTAGGATTATCTTGAAACTTTAACACTTTCACGTTTGATCATTGTCTTGATAGTTGTTGTAACTCGTAAAAGTCATCGAGATTGAAATTAACATTCCTTCTTAACTTTGAAACAAAGTACGAGTTATGCAAAAACTTATATATCACATTTTTATTACATTTTTTTAAACGATTGCATAAAATAATAAGATAGTATTGTAACTTAGCTAAACGTGGAGAATAAGAAAAGAGAGAGAGAGAGAGAAAGAGAAAGAGGAAGAGAGAAAACTTTTCAATTGGACTTATTCGATTTGCGATGTCATTGCCGGAGTCGTTGACCTCGATGCAATAATATATCAATCGTAACGCAACAAGGAAATATAATAATAGAAAGAAACACGCACCATGAAGACACAAAAATCTATCGTATCTTTTGTTCTTGTGCAATGTCAGAACATAAATGAATGAAGGATTCAAAAACTAAAATGAATAAATAAAGATACGAAATAAACAAAACGATTTGTTTGTAATCATGATTAAATTTATTTTCAATTTTTCTTAAAACGTAGCACAGTTCATTCAATTCTATCGGATTTTATTTTTAAACAAAATTTTCTCAGATTATTTTTATAATAAAAAATATGACTATGAATTCTCTTGTATTTTTTTTTCTTTCTTTTTTTTTTTTTTTTTTTTTTATTTCGAAAGAGAGAAACAAACGTAATATATTTATTGTTTTAAGAGATATCTTTCTTTAGTAAACTCATTAATTTAATCGAGAAATAAATTGGAGCTACTTGTTATTAAATATTTATGATTATAATGTTTTTTTAATAACCCAATCAATTTCTATTAGTCAAATTACATCATTTGTTATGTCATCGTATCATATTATTTTTAACGTGGAATTCGATAATTTTGAATAAAATTCGAATATAATTTTGACTAGGAGATATATACGAGATAATAAATATCTAACGTAATAAAGAAAATTCAACTAAGGAAACGAAGATAGAAATTACTAACTAGTAAATAATTATAAGTATCGGAAAATTCTAGTCCAATGGTAAGGTACGCTTTCTATCTGTATCTGGTTGTAAAGTTACGACGGTCGTGCTTTGATTACCAGCTGGAAAATTGTTACCACATCATTTAACAGGACCACACTTGTAAACGATCTTGCAATCGTTTGAAAGTAAAAAGAGGGCGAACATGTTTCTTTAAAAGGCGAAAAGTATTTGAGCCACATCATTCTCTTATTGATGGGTGATCTAATCGAAGAATAATAGGATTCATCTTTTCGATCAAACAAACATATATGAAAAAATTAATCTTTATAGATATTCTCTCTCTCTCTCTCTATTTTTTTTATCCAAGAAAAATCTTTTGTTTTCAAAATGGATAATGTATTTATTTGATAATTATACTATAAATTCTTCACAAGTCCATTGAGAATAAATTTCCGATGGCGATATATCGACATTCCTATGCTGCATGATTTATAGCTCGATTATTTAACAGTTATACACGAGAATCGATTACTATGTAGTTATCGAAATGTACGTAAATGATAAGAATAGTTTTTTCTTTCTTCCTATCTCTTTCTCTCTCTCTCTCTCTTTCTCTCTCTTTCTCTCTCTCTCTCTCTCTTTCTCTCTCTCTCTTTCTCTCTCTCTCTCTCTCTTTCTGTCTTTTTTACTTTTCTTCTTCTTCTTCGAAGAAACGACTATTCATTATTGCCCTCACACACACACACACAAACACAGATCATTGGCATCATCTAAAGAAGATAATGTCAGTGAAATAATGAGGTCGTAGAGAGACACTGGAACTTTAGTAGTTCCTTTCGCCGTTCTCGCATCATTATTCTTAAATCATTTCTAATTTCGTTCGCGATAACTATTCGAAACGTTATTAATATCCATAGATATAAAATAAATTCGAGGAAACTTCCCTCATTATCTCAAATTTTACCTAAGATATCTAATTAATATCGAAACATAACGTTAATCATTCGATCCTAATTGATAAAATTAATGACAAAATATTATAGTATATGTATATTATATATATATATATATATATATATATAATTTTTTTTCTTTTCCTTTTTCTTCTTTTTTCTTTTTTCTTTTTTCTTTTTCTTTTTTTTTTTTTCTTTTTTAGAAACATATAATAGAAAAGATTTTTAAAATAAATTCATAAAATAATATTCAATTTCTTTTACTTATGGAAAAAAAGAAAGATATAGCATTATCTTTTATTAACACAAAACTTGATTTCATCAGAATAAAAGACAAACAAAAATTAAAAAGTGAAAATAAAAGAAAAAGCTTCCAAAAAATATGTTCCATTATATTTTTGGTAAATTTTATCTTCTCTATAACGTTAATAAAAACACAATATATCAATTACGTGACATTATAATTAATCTCTCTCTCTCTCTCTCTCTCTCTTTCTCTCTCTCTCTTTCTCTCTCTCTCTTTCTCCCTCTTTCTTTCTATGATCCAGCTGATAACGACGATCATGATTCCGTAGAACACGATAGAATATTTCGCATTCAACTAGGGCAAAAGAAAAGAAAAAATTTTCAACGCGACTTCGTGATATTTCATAGACTTGACCGGTCATGGAAAGAGCAATAAGTTCAAACAAAATGTTTCTTTCATGCTCAGAGAAACATGGAATTTTGTCGGTTTCAAAAATACATAAGAACGCCGTTCAAAAGTTTTTCACTTTGTTGCACTTTATTGCAACGATAAAGTTCACGTGAAACGCTCGTAGAGATCAAGTTAGAAATCACGAACGTTATACGATGAATAAAATAAATGTTCGATGAAAATCTAGGAGTAAAAAAAAAAAAAAAAAAAGAAAGAAAAAAAAAGGAGAAAAAAAAATATATCTCTAGAAAAAACGACACGCCTAATCTTTGAATACTATTTAATATGATTGCTATAGCTAATTCTAACTATATATTATTCATGATACGAGAATAAAAAGTTATCTTGTAAATCACGTTCCTCCTACTCTTATTTTTACTTTTTTCTTCTAATTCACAGATATTTTCATGCTAATGATGTTAGGATTAATTGGACTCGCCTCAGGCTTTTTAATTCTTATCTGCAAACCTTACGATATGCTCTTCCAATTTAAAGTCACATTTGGCGAAGGAGGAGAAATATTTGAATTCTGGAGAAAACCTGACGTGGATATTTTTTTGAAAGTTTACTTATTCAATATCACCAATCATGACAATTATTTAACTGGAAAGGATAGCAAACTCAATTTCCAGGAAATTGGACCTTACGTATACAAGTGAGTAAGAAAAAGTTAATTAGCACTTTTTCCTCTCTCGCTCTCTCTCTCTCTCTCTCTCTTTTTTTTTTTTCATTGATAAAAGACTAGCATACATAAATCTTTCCGTTCGATTTCAAAAAATATATCTGACCTTAAATATATGTGTATGCATAGATATATACATATTATACATAGATATAAATAACGAGCAAAGCTACGTTGATTTCGTAGCAATGATATATTAATTTTCGTAATTTAGGGAGCATATGGAACACGGCAACATCAAATTTAACAGCAATGGCACTGTATCCGTCACACCACTTCATCCTTTAATATATATACCGGAAATGAGTAATGGTACTGAACAAGATATTCTCATCTTACCTAATATCGCACTTCTAGTGAGTATACAAATTTGTGTTCTTTTTTTCTTTTTTCTTTTTTTTTTCTTTTTATTTTTTTTTTTTATTCTCTATAATGTATCGTAATGAAATTATGAACAATATACGAAAGAAATATACATCTTTATATATATAATATATAATACGTGATACAATGTGAAAAAATTTATGAGATTATCTATTTAATTTTGAATATAATCTTTTGGAAATAATCTGTCATCACAAGGCAAAGAAAAATAAATCGAAAAGCACGAACATATGATAATATACTAAAATATTTTCGTATAATCTATAAAAATCATATAGATATACAGATCGTATTGTTTGCACGTAAAAAATTATTCCATTCGCAATTAAAATATTTTTCCTTTATTTTACTTTTCCAACGTTTTCCGTATATAGAAACTCGTGTAAACGTTAGCCTTGGCAATGTCGTAGACTCTCCATGTGATTGACCTTTCCTAGTCAGATAGACTGAACGTGTAAATGCGTAGAAAGGATACATACATATATATATATATATATATAAAATAAAATAAAATAAAGTAAAATAAAATAAAATAAAATAATATAAAACGAATATTAATTCTCTATCTTCGATCTTCTTGCGAATTTAATTTTCTGTAGAATCAGCAGGAATAAAATACTGAATTCAATAATATCGAATCGATTTTAATGTTATGCTTAACACGTATTAAGATACTGATTAATCAGTCATTTCAGTTACAAACGCGAACAATCACACAGAGAGACGGACATATACAATAAATACTTCCCGAATTTTTATCTTCGATGAATCATCATCCAATAACGGCAAATCCTGCATATATATATGTTAATATAAAAGAACAAAGATAAAATTACCTTGGATCTTCGTTTACGAACAGCAAAACATTCTCGATCGTATTTACGAGCTTCGCACGTAACAGACGCTAACGTTCCACTTTCCTCCGACGTTCTGTCCATCCCTTCTCCTTCTCCTCTTCTTCCTCCTCATCCTCCTTCCTCTCTTCGTTCTCTTCTTACTACTCCTTTCTACTTTCCTACGAAGAAATTACACGAATTAGTATGAGGTAATCTTAACGTGGTATTCTTACGAAAACCTTCAAGGAAAATATTCTAATGCTCGATGACAGAAGTGAGAGAGAGAGAGAGAGACAGAGACAGAGACAGAGACAGAGAGAGAAAGAGAAAGAGAAAGAGAAAGAGAAATCTTTTTTCTTCAATTAATCGAAAAAAATGCATGATTTTTAAGTAAATGTCAACCAAAAGTAAAAGAAAAAGAAGAAGAAACGGTAAATGTTAAATATTTTTTATATCACGATTATTGATAATGACACGAATCACATAAATTTCGTGTAAAAGTGATATCATAAATTAATATTTGTTGGAAAAAAAAGACATACGATTCAAATTGGACGATAGAAATCTAATTCATAACTATGAATTACTTATCGATCATTATTTTGCAACGATTTTCATCGATGCCTATCGTTGACTAACTGTCGGTCAAAAACAAAATGCATATTAGATTTTATGACGAAATATTGCAGGTCATGCGTAGAAAAAGTAATTTCACGTATTGTGACATAGAGAAACAGCCAATCACTTTACATCCTTTCGAAATCTTCTCGACAAATTTCATAAAAGTATGATCTATCGTTAATATCATACGAACAATATCCCGAATTATACTTATCCTATTTATTTCTTTTCGGTTCAATGCAATTGCATAATAGTAATTATAATAATAATTAAATGTTAATCATCATGAAATGATAATATCAAATTGATCATATCAAAGATATATTTTCTTTTCTTTTTTCTTTTATTCTTTGATGATTATCTGATAAGTTAATTAATTTAATAAAAATAAAAGGAAATAAAAAGGTTGAAAGAATTACGTAATTCATTTCGTGTCAATGAACTGTCTCTCTCTCTATATATATGTATATTTTATAATATATATATATATATATATATATGTATATAAAATAAAATAAATGTCACCCGCTATTATACATATTATCAATGATATAATCCGAGTAAGTCATTCACAAATCAAGAATCGTATTATATTAATAGGAAAAAAAATCATCTAACATAAATCATACGAGAGAAGATAAAAAATGAAATGATCGAAAATCATAGTTATATACGAGATAAATACTGTCATAATTAATGTTAGCTCTAGTTTTTCCTCTAATCGCTAATCTGTCATATAAAATGGAATAACATTATTTACGATACTTCGATACTAAGTCACAAAGCGGAAATATAAATAGTGTAAATATGTATGTATTCAAACAAGATAATACAAACAAGTCACGTAGCTTCATGTGATCGTTGCTATGTGTATGTATGTATGTACGTATATTTTTTTTTCTTTCTTCTATACTTTGTTCCTTTTGTTTTCTTTATCGATTCATGTCAGTCTTAGTCAAGTCGTTGTAGAGTGAAGATCATATTAAATCGACGTCTAACATTATTTGGACTTTAACTTTCCACATTTATTTTTCTTTTCTTCACTTATATATATATATATATAAGTGAAGAAAAGAAAAACCAATATTTATTTTATTTTAATTAATTAACCTTAGGCATGCACACGGACAAATCAAGGACTTTCATTGGATAAATATCCAATATTCACGTATACAAATTATCGATATAATTTATATCTTAGAATATAAATATAAATTTGTAATTTCCAGAGTATAACCAATGTAATGAGAGAAGCAACGTACTTGACAAGATGGGGTTTAAATGTGTTAATCCATCAAACAGATTCAAAACCTTTGGTACCAATGACTGCTCGAGAGTTCATGTTTGGTTACGAATCTACTCTGCTTACACTTGGAAATCAAATTATGCCATCGTGGATCAAATTTGATAAACTCGGTCTTATCGACAGAGTAAGTTTGATATATGAATTATAGTTTATGTATTTAAGAGTCATAATATCGTATTGATTTAATAAACTCGAATTATTGATTTATATGTACCTTTAGAATTCAATGAAATATATCATACAGCCAAAAGATTTTATAATACTGTAGATCATTTTTCTTTTTTTCTTTTTCATAGTAACTTAGCTAACTAGCATGACGCATTGAAGTAAATGAACCTTCTCTTCCTAGCATCATGACAACTACTGTGTAATAATAATATTCATATTTGTGTGTAATGATTTTTCAAGAACTCTATCATTTTATCGTTATAATTGTGACTTATATAATGGAAAATTTTTCATCGTCGCAACATCTCCGTTCTTCTTTTTTTTCTTTTTTTCTTTTCTTTTTTTTTCCTTTTTTATTACTTTTCTTTTTCCTTTTTCTTCAGATGTATGACTTCGAAGGTGATTACGAGACTTTTTACACCGGTGAAAAGGACGTGAAAATGACTGGTCTGATCGATAAATATAACGGCAACGTTAATCTTCCCCACTGGAAAGGAAGATGTGCGAACATTAATGGTGCTAGTGATGGAACTAAATTTCCAACTTACATACAACCTAACGATACTCTTCTTTTTTTTCGAAAAAGTCTTTGTCGTAGTGCCCACATGGTAAATTTAAATTATAGAATCGTTAATCCTTCTATAAACCCATACTACATTTAAATCAGACACTTGTATGTATGTATATATATATATATATATATATATATATGTATACATATATATATATACACGTTAAATTTTTAATTTATCGTTAGAAAATTAATTGTTAATTCACATTCGATATTTTTTGTCTTCTTTTTTTTATGACTTTTTTTATTTCTTTTTTTGTCTTTTTTTATTTGTATATATATATATATATTAAAAATATAATTATTAAAATATATTATTATTAATATAAAAATATATATTATACTAAATTATATACTATAATAATTATATTATTTACTATTTTATTAATAGATATTATTTATGCTAGTATTATAATAATTATTATTTTTTATACAAGTATAATTTAAAATATTACTATATCATAAATTAAAGTAATTATATACATATATTACATTATTCTGTAATAATTTTTTATATTATATTTTTAGTAGATTATTATTATTATTATTATTATTATTATTATTATTATTATAATTATTATTATTATTATTATTACATCAATATAAATAATGTTATAACTTTCACATTATATAATTATACTAGTATGAATAATACTATTACTTTCACATTATATAATTTCTATGTAACCATGAACCAAAAAATTAGGTTATAGAAGGTTAATGTTATTTACTTTTACGTATTAACATATCATCGATAATGAAAATTAATTTTTAATGACATATATATTACAGACGCGAACCGATGAAAAAGTTATTAAAGGCTTATATGCTTACAAATATAATTTTATGGAAAATGAAATGGACAACGGTGTTTATAGAGAAGAAAACAAATGTTACTGTCGAGAAGGATATTGCTTACCACCAGGTTTAGTGGACGTAACCGCTTGTTATTACGGTAGGCTACATTTCTTTACGAAATATCTTCTTTTCCTTCTTTTTCTTCTTCTTCTTCTTCTTCTTCTTCTTCTTCTTCTTCTTCTTTCATCTTGATTTAAAAGTTTCGAAGAAATCAATTACTTTCAATATGCCGTTTTTTTCTTTTTCTTGTACACCGATTACGTATTTTAAAACGTTACTTACATTACTAAAAAATGTGATATTAACGGTATAATGGATGTACGATAATCAACTATTATTTCATTAGAATTAAAAAAATTACACGTGCGCCTATCTTAACTATCTAATTTTCAAATTCTAATGTCAAAAAAAAAAAAAAAGAAAAAACAATGAAAATATTAAGGATAGTTATGAATTACTTTCTGACGTAATGAATCGATCGATTCGTTCATGTAATTTTCTTTAAATGAAAGAATCTGTAAAGATTATGAAATCTTTTTTCTTTTTTGTTTTTTTTTTTTTTTCTTTAACCTGTATTTTATTTTATTTTATTTTATTTTATTTCTTTTCAGGTTTCCCAATAGCACTGTCCTATCCACATTTTTACAAATCTCATCCATCTCTTCTTGAGGCTGTAAACGGTTTAAAACCAGATCCAAAGAAACACGAATCTTATTTTTATATACAACCACAATCAGGCTTACCAGTTGATTTGGCTTTCCGTTTTCAAATTAACATGGCATTGCAGGATATTGGACATATGGCAAAAGTAGAAAAGTTTTCTAACTTTGTTCTTCCACTTCTTTGGTTTGAAATCGTAAGTATCGATATATTATTTGTTAAGCGATTGTTATAATCGTGAGATTAATTGCCAAAAAAATAAATCTGTAAAATAAATTAATAATTACACGATTACGACGACGCGAATATCAAAACTTACGGCGCGACTTTTAAATTGACGATTGTTTGTTGCACCGTCTATAGGCTATATTTGGTACTAATTTTTTATCGAATATTTACGCGCTCTTTTACAAATCATATTATTCTCTCTTTCTTCTTTTTTTATCTTTTAGGGAATGTACGAATTACCAACGAACAGAAACTCATTGTTTTACTTATATTTAAATATTTTACCAGTATTAGAAGAAATCACTAAATACCTCATGTTCATTATTGGCTCAATTCTTTTTATTTGGAGCATTGTTAAATTACTTCTTTATCGTAAATTACTTCTTAAAAAAAGATTACAATTTTTTAACAATAGAAGGTCTTCCATGAAAATAAAAGAAGCAGAAAGTTATTATAATGCTTTGCTTAATCATTCAGAGAACAAATTTACATCCGACATACTAGAAAATTTATCAACAATGAAGAACGAAATAAATGTTTGATTGTAAACATACGAGCCGTTCAAGACGTAGAAAGAGGCTATCATCGTCAAGGACTATATACACACTCGTCGATCTAATATCCTTTCGTAAATACATTCAATATCCGAAAATGAAATATGATTGGCGAATAAGATATGAGTCTTCAATAATTCCAAATAAAACGATGTCATCCTCTCCTGCCCTTTTTTCTTACAACAAATAAAATGTCAAGAGGACAGAGAAATGGAAAATCGTATTATGTTTTAAATCGAGGTACTTCTTTTAATCGCCATTTTGTTTTTTTTCTCTTTATCTTTTGTACTCAAAACATTGGTCAAAAATAATTCTAATTTTTAATTAGAAAGTCGAATCCTATTCGAATCAATCGATTTTTATATTCTTGTAAATTCTAATACGAATTTTTTAATTCGATTAGTAATAATTGAATAACATTAAATAATTTTGAATTATTATATCAAAGAACGATAAATGGTAATTAAAGTGATTTTTATTGCAAAAGTAGTATTTCTACTTTAAAGTACGTATTGTGAACATTTATACTTTTACATTTCGTTACTGTATAATAATTGCGATAAAGAAGTAAATATGTAAATATGTAAATAATATTATAAAGAAAGTAAGCTGACTTTTTCGTGAATGAAGTTAATAATAATTATTTGTGTACTTATTGCGTGTGAACAATAACACATGACATTTTGTATACGTAAATTAAGTATTTTTTAATAGTGTTATAATTTATGGAAGATAGATAGAAGTCATATTTGTGAAATAAATGATTAAGAACGAACAAAAAATTAAATTATTGTTATGATATAATGTAGTTTTAGTGATAAATAATGTCCACTAACGATCTTGCCAATGGAATAACCTCAAAAACGTGGACAATAATAAGCACATGATTTTTATTTAAGATATTTATAAGAAATTCACATGTTATTCATCTATTATTTTTCTTTATTTTAAAAATATATTCAAAGTGAATCCTAAATAATGTTATTTTATTTATTATACTATATCATAATACATAGAATTGATGAATATGTCTTATATATGCAGTGACTGATAAATAAATACAATCCTCCGTATAAATATACTTGTATAATTGTTATATACATACATATATATATATATATATGTGTATACACATACATTTATAAGATAGATTATATATAAATGGATTACTTCTCTAATGATTTTATAGTTAGGAAATTATTTTTTAGGACAGTACAAACATTATCCATTATATTGTTTTTGTTTCTTTTAAGTTTGCGAAAATTTCCATTTTTATTGAATTGTTTTTTATATTTAGATTTTCAGTTTTTTCTTTTCTTACTATAAGTATCGTCGAATGAATTATTAACTTTACGCTTATTTTTATCCTTACAAACTTTAACCTCATTTATAAGTTTTTCATTATTGCTTAAAGTTTCTGATTTATTGTCTGTAGTCGTATCTTTACTGATGGAATTTCCACTAGTTAAAAGATATTCATAAATTTTTCTTTTTGCATTGACATTTTTATTAACTTTTTTCTTTTTAATACTGGTTTTGGGCACACTACACATTTTTTCCTTTGCAGTTTGAACATTGTTTTCATTAATCACCCTGGCTGAAACGAAAGCAACATCATGGTCTTTTATTCTTGTTTCTTTTTCTTCACGTACAGTCTTCATTGTTTTAATTTCATTGTTAATATAAGTTACATTATAATTTTTGGTCTCATCGTTTTCACTAACTTCCATTTGATTGCTATTTTTAATTTCTAAAGCTGTTTTGAATCCAGTATCATGAGAACTATTGTTTGATTTGTCTTGTGAATACGACATAATTTTACATTGTTTATTTTTTTCATTTCTTTTAATATTATTATTCTTTAATTTATTTTGATCATCATTTACATTCGTGGGCACTGCTTTAGATGCTGTTGTTTGAGGATGAACTTCATAATTAATATATTCTATTAATGCTTCATGTGTCGTATCATTATTAGTACACATTCGTATAGATGAAATCTGAATGCAATATACATCTCTTATATAATACACATATAAAACCTTAATGATCTTGTTTACAGGATTAATACATTATACATACCAATTTAGACATATCAAATTTGTACTTGTTAAGAAGTCTTGTACTACAGAGCACATTGTATTCTAATTGATAAGCTATATTATGCATGTCATTTTCTTGAAAATCTTTCCCAGATTTTTTACATACACATTTATAATTTTCATATAAGACTGTTTTTAACTTATCATAAAAATGTTCTCGTAACTAGATAAAATTCAAAATAAAAATATTAATAAAAAAATTTGTTTATATACATACGCCCATATACATACATGTTGTAATATTACCGATACATTACTTATTAATGAAATATTTTGTTTATTCAAGATATGATTAATAATTTACTTACCTGCACAGTCAAACCCTTTATTTTTATATCAGTACTCTCAGCTGCACGAACATTAGATCGCTTAGCATCTTCATTATTTCTTTTTCTCACCTAAAATAACATGAAATGAAAATGTTATCATATATATTTGCATATACTTAAATATATATACCTCTTCGTTACGATTGTTATTTCGGCGCAAAGCAAATTGCTTTTCAATTAATTCTTTAGTTTCCCGTTTAGAATCGGCAATTAATTTTTCTCTTGGAACGCAAGCTTCTTGACACTCGCTCCTACAAATGAATAAAAATTATTAATAAATATATATATATATATATTTTTTTTTGTAATAGAAATATATTGATCTTCTTTAAAATTTTATCCGATACTCACATATCATCATATTTAGAAAATGCAAAACCATCTGCGCTACTCGAAGATTTCTTCGAATATCTATCCGGTCGTGATCGACACATTTCAAATTGTGATATTCTTGCTTCAACAATATTTTTATTTTTACATACGTCGCAACGATTTTTGCACGCAGGTGGACTATCTCCGAAGTATTTAGAAAATACACTATGTCGACATCTAAAGAAAAATGTTATTACAAATTAGATAAAAAATATCGTATTATTTAATTAAAATATATAAAATATGTTTAATTAATTTTTAAATACTTTACTTGGTCTTTAGACAATATGCAACACTTTTTTCAAAATTCTTCCATTGTACTTCTGCAAATTCTGTTCTTTTCTGAGAATGTTCTTCCTTTATTAGAAATGAAATAATTCCAAATTCTTCGTTAGAGAAATATACTCTGCAAAAGGCTGGATTACCATCTCTACCTGCTCTACCAGATTCTTGATAATATGCTGCAATATTTTGTGGAACTGTCCAATGTACCACAAATCTAATAATAACATTTATAAATTATTTAGATAATGCAATATTAATAATAACTTATATATATATATATATATACATATAAGCCATGGAAGATATTTGTAATAATTTGTATATACCTCACAGTTGGTTTATCAACACCCATTCCAAAACTGCATGTTGCTGCAATAACAGAAACTTCACCCACTGTCCATTTATTTTGAACTTCATTACGTTCTTGATTTTTTAAACCTATAAATAGAATGAACAATACTCATATATCATATATTTTATAATACTAAACAATTACTCGTCTATTTTTATTATTTCTACTTACCAGCATGATAGGCCAATGTTGGAATATTAAACATATTTAATTTATTAGCTATAATTTCTGTTGCTTCTTTTTTTCTACAATAAATAATACCACAATTTCTCTTATCCTGTAAATATTACTTATTACATAAAAAATTAGCAAAAAGGAAAAAATGATATAAGAATTATTTTTATTACTTTTGGTAGAGAATCATTTAATGGACCAAGAGCTTCCACAATGAAATTTTTAAGATGATCAAATGGTTTATCTAATACTTCTAAAAACCATACGTCATAATAAAGATTAGGACGAAACACTGGAATTGAAAATTTTAGTATATTTTTCATGTTCAATGTCTTTAATATGTCAACTACTACCTGAAAAAATATTATAAACATAAATATATATATATATATATTTATATACATAATAATTTGTTAAAGAAAAATATATATACCTCTTTTGCAGCTGTAGCAGTTAAAGCAATTATAGGAACATCAGGACAAAGCTTTTTAAATACACCTAATTGTCTGTAACTAGGTCTAAAATCATGACCCCATTGGCTTAAACAATGTGCTTCATCAACAATAAAATAAGATATAGCCTTAGCTTTTTGTAATTTAATTATAAGTTCCTATAATGTAAAAAAATATTAGGAATAAAATGACAATGATATAATTAAGGATTACATAGAAATTTCATAGATATAACTACTTACTTGAAAATGCTTCTGCGCTCCCATTTCAGGTGTAACATATAATAATTTGATTTGCGGCGAATTTGATGATAATTCTTTCATTATTGCATTTCTATCTTTAGTAGTTGTATTTGAATTTAACGAAACGGCTTTAATTTTTTTATTAACTAAAAAATCCACTTGATTCTATATGAAATATTTTCTAATATAATTTAATTCATATTTAATAATATCTTGTATCTAAATAATTTATAAAATTCTTATGTACCTTCATGAGAGCTAATAATGGTGAAAATACAATTGCAACTTTATCTTTTTTCATTATAGATGGTAATTGAAAACAAAGCGACTTGCCTGATCCAGTGGGCATACAAACATAAACATCATGTTTACCTAAAATAATTAACTTAATAGTTATTTTTTTCTATCTACTAGATAAATATTTTTTTATATATTTTATATATATATATATATATATATATATATATATATAAAAAATGTATACATATATTCATAATCTTCTTATAGTTATATATTTAATAAAATATTTGAAATTTTAAAAAAAACGACCTCATTTGTATTTACAATAGAAATATCCAACCTTCATAAATAGCACTGGTGGCACGTTTCTGTATATCACTTTTAAAGTCATCATAACCAAATACAGACTTTAATACGCTTGACAACATTTTTGTTAATTATTACAATAGAATCAATATATAAAATAAATTAAATCCGTCCATCAATTTTCTCTCGAAGCATGTGCGACTTTAGCGACATATATGAATAAAATATGAACTACAAGTACAAACTGTGATATGGTTAAGAAAATCTGAATATCAGTTATTGAAATAAACAGGTAATTCCTACTTTACAAAAATAATATATATATATATATATACATTCAAAGGTAATATGATAATCAGTAGTG